AGAAATTGCGTCTACTCCGTCCGGCCACGGCAGGGAGTCCCAGTGCTCGATTTGTAGGAAGCCCTCCCGGCGAAACTGGCGAATCATGGACTGCTCCGTTGGGGATACACTGGCCCAGAAACCGCTGTCGTGCGCAAAGCCCGGAAACCAGGCGAGCTGGTCAACTGCGAAGGTGAAACGGTTGATGCGACTCCGAAAGAAAAGATCCTGCACGTGCCGGAACAGGGCTTGTGCCTGCAGGAAGAGCGAAGTGGAATTTGCGCTACTGTAGCTGCTGGCTACAAGATCGGGCCGCGACTTTGACTCGGCTGGAAGGCGGCTGGAGGCTGAGTTTTGCTCCACTTCTTGGTCCTGCAGGTTGCTTCCGACGTCGAAAATTCTTGTTTCGTCCGGTTCCGGTTCGTCAAGACAGGAAGATGATAACAACGCTACGTCCACCTCTGCCAAGGCCGACGCTGCGGGTCTACTAGTAGCGCTCCTGCAACTAGCTCTCCACCCGGAGAACAAGTCCATGCCAAGTCGTCCACGCCGCACGATGCCCAATTTCTGCAGAGTGCGCTTCTGTGCGTAGTCGGGTCCGAGTTTGCGAAGAACCTTCTGGTTGAGCAAGTGCTGCTCCCGTGAAGCGTGCTTTCTCGCACCTTTCGATGCGAACGCCGGGTTGTAAAAGTCGTCGTTTCCAGCACGAGAAAGCTCCAGCTGCACGCCGCCACGGTTTCCGCTCGTTAGCGTGGCCAGAACGAGAGAAACAACCACGAGGCCTTTCGAAATGCGCAGAGTCGCGTGCATTTTCTTGCAGTATGTGTATGTCTCCGCTGACCGCCGTGCAGAGCGTTCCAAAAGCGGGAAGTAGCTTCGCGTGCTTTCCCTGCCGAACGAAATTCCGTAGCGCGAAGAGTCGCCTCCTGCACCCTCGGAAAAGAAATGACTTTACTTGGGGATTGCGACAAAACTGTCTGCGTCTCCACATGCCGCAAGAGAACTCAGCTCTGATCTTGCAGTCCCCGCGAACAGGTTTTAATATCAACAAAATGTGATAAATTATCGATCTTCATCACTTTGTCTATCTTTGTATTGTTTGCTGGAACGAACACCATTAGGAGCTGCGGGCTCCTCAAAGATCCTAAGTACTTGTGTCTGACGAGGACTTTCTTGCGGTTGGCTGGCAAAGGCCTAGCGACGTACTTCGAATAGAATTTGGAATGAGTTCGTCCTGTGCTACCGCAACTACGACATTGCTCGGTGTATTGCGAGGCACGACAAAAAGGGTAGCTGCTGCAAGATGCAATTAGACACTTGTTCTTTCCACCACGAGACAATTTTGATTGTACGTGTAGGAGAATGGGAGATGCTACATAAGGTTTTCTCTACTTCTATCTAGACAATTGCTTCGCAATCCGATCCAAGGAAGGAAAACTCGAAGCGACTGAGTCCCCGACAACCGCGTGCAGCGCGTCGGAGGATTTTCGGAACCTTTTCATGCATCTTTCGATCGAAGGTTTCCTTTCCCATTAGTCCCTCCGCTTCCAGGACGACGGCGGCACTTCTGCCATGTGTGTTCTTCCCTCATCTGCCCTGCGGCTTCGCATCCCGTGCCTGTCAGCATCTCTGTCTTTGCGCCAATCGTGGTCATCGTCAGCATGCGTTTCGAATTTGTATTGGTGCATCGACCTGTATCAGTATATGTTTTTTTTTTACTTAGAGCGTAGAAGGATAGTATCCATGAAATCTGCGTTGGTTTTAGACTGATCACGAACCCGCACCAGTGTCTCTTCCACATTTACATTTTGCATTCTAGTCGTGACGAATGCATAACAAAAGTCTTCATCAATGTGGTCGCGATAGTAGAGAAAGTACTACCTCGCCTCGATTTCCCACAGAAGCACAATAAAATATTACGTGTTCATCATCCTTCCACTTTCGCTGCTGTCGTCGCTTTTTTTCCTCCGACCGCGGTTCTGTACAATTCTCCGCATATTATACTGCTGCTCGTGGTTGCCGGAGACTGCACGGCCCTCCGTCTTTTTCCTCCTTCCGAGGTCGTTTCTTTTCGCTCTTCTATCAGAGAGTTTGCGGGCCTTCGACGGAGACCGGGAAGTGCGTTCTGGAGACCTGCGTGTCAGTTACAGTATGGCAAATCTCCAGGCGGGCAACTTATGTATGCTATTTTTAGTTGTTTTTACTCATACCTATTCGCACATTCTTCGGCGTGAGGTGGAGCAAGACGCTGCCCGACTAGAAAACGTAAGTACTGCGTTGACGAATTATCGTCGTCGGAGCTACTCGAGTCGGCCGAGGAAGAAGAGGAGGAGGAGCTGCTGGACTCGGAGCCTGCTGATCCCAGCGAGCCGCCAAACGGCCTCGGGGGCAGTCCAGATGAGCAAACGGAAGCTGAGGCTGAACTCTCTTCGTCGGAGCTGTTTTTCATTTTTGAGAAACAAATGATTTTCCACGATCATTGTCTTCGCAGATGCACCCTGGCATCGTGTTTGGACTGCAAGGCAGATCAGCAGCAGAAGGACGTGCTTCGACACAGGGACTACCTGCTGCTCTCGTGGGCTGTTTTTTTTGCGGCGAAAGCTTGACCCCCTTGCGGGTGGTGTTCTCCCTTATTCATCTCGGGATTTGCCTTGCGGTCGTTACTTGTGGCTGGCTCGTTTGGTGATTGGAGGCTAGACGTCGTGGCAGCTCCCTGATACCTGCAAGAGGGGGGACAAATCTCCGACGCACGACCCTGGCGGTTCGCATCCTGCTGAGCCGGCTCCTCACTTGCCACTGCTGTAGCAGAAGGCGAGGCGTTCTGTCCCGTAGAGTTTCGGGCTCCTGCTCGGCCACCAACAGCCCCCGTCGACGCTCCCCAACACTGCAGGCCCCGCGTAAGCCGTGGGTCCAGGCCCGGTTTCTTTGGTTCCGTGCGGACCCGAGGGTGCTCCTTGTCCCACTGCTCGGTGATCTGGTAGCACTGATGCCAGGCGAAGTTTGAAGTTGCCAACGCTGCGCGCAGTTCGCGGTTGCTCTTGTTCCGGAAAAACCCGGCCCACTCTGCCACTACCCATTCGGGAATCGATTCCTTCCATTTCTTGGCGTTTTTCGTCGGCGCTGCACTTGGCTGCCACAAATGCGACCACGATTGTTCATCGACCTCGCAGTTATCAGAATGATCGTCAGTCTTCTTGGAGGACGCACCCAATGCCACTGGAGCTTCACCCGAAGCGCGCGCTTCTTGCAAATCGATGCGATTTTGCTCCGCAGTCGAATTTGCGGGACAAGTGCGGGGAGCTTCAGATACTTCGTAGCTCCTCGGCTTGCTGTAGTAGCTGCTCCAAGTTTTATCATCTGCTTCGGCCGAAGAAAACCTGTCTTCCTGCGCCGGCGGGATCGCGCTGCCGCCCACGGAGACCGGCTGTTCTGGCGGGCTCTGTTCTATAATTCCCTGACTTCTCGAAGCTGCATGGTTTTTTCTGCTGTCCGCGTTGCGAAGCACTTGCGCCAAGGTGTCGGCAGTTACAAGCTGCGAAAATTTATCGATGTCAAGACCAGTGCAGGCGAGGAAGGTCATAAAGTGCCGTCCGATGACCTCACGAATAGTCTCGTCGAGCGCCGGGTCGCCTTCGGCAACGCAGTACCATTATCACATAGGAAAAAGCAAGCGTGTCACAAGAATAGCACGCAATATGCAAAGGTCAACATGCCTGATACTAAAACGGCAGGAGATCCTCTACACACTATATAGCACTTGTGTCGTGCTGGTCGACCTTGTTTTTCTCGAGGGCCTTCATGTGGATACTATTACTTTTGCATGTACAAACAGGCTGTGGCTGTTGCTTTCTCTTTTTGCCACAGGATAAGAGCATGTGAAAAACGCGGCGAGCGAAGGATCCCCTCTCCGCCGCGTTGCTTAAAACCATCCGAAATTCGATCGGACTGGTAGCCGCCGAGGGCTTGGTGGGCAGTTGAAACAACCAGATTGACGGGTAGGCCACGTCCGCTGCACGAGATTGTTGATTCCTGTGAGAGAGAAAATTGATCAGTGCAACAAGAACAAAACCGAGCGAGTTCGTTTCACAGAGCAAACTTCTATCTGATCAAATATTTTGCGCCAAGAAGTTGGGTAGGTCTCACTCCTAATTCCGGAAGAGACCTTCAGCAAGCAGTGCCTGCTGGGTTTAAGCAAGTAACCAATAAATACTTGCATGCTCATCTTATGTGGTGTTCAGAGAGCAAAAACGACCTCAATTACCCTGAAGAGGAGGAAGACAATTTCCACTGGTCGCTGCCACCAAGCTCGTCACAGAGCTCACACAGGGTTTGAAACCCACCATTTGGTCCACCAGCGTCAGGTCGCAACACCCCGCTGCAATTGTTCGGAGGCTCGAACTGCGACATATGATATAGAAAGCTTCACCGCTGGAGGTGGAAAATTTCAAAACAAATCAAGAGAACGAACTCATTGGTTGAATACGGCAACTTGTCGTGAAAAAATACTGAGGTTGTGGTGCACTATTATGCGGTAGCCTTCGTCCATATGACATTTTCTACTGCTCTGGGGCAAGAAAATCACCTAACGACTTGGTCTGTTCGCGCTCAATCATGTTCGTGCCCGCATAAATGTCAAACAACGGATGAACTTGGATCTTGGCTATCTGCGATCACTTTTTTCTGCATCGAGCAGCAGCAGCGTGAATTCTTCGCTATTTGAAACAGGATCACGAAATCAATCAGCGATCCGTCTCTGAAAACCACCAGGCTGCGACACTTTTCTTTGTTCCACGATCAGCTGCTGACGAAGATAAAACAGAAACCGTCCCTTGAACAACCGATGACCGCAAGACAATTTCACAAAGTTTTAAAGTGTTTTCATTAACGAAAAAATGTTTATGTTATATTGATTCATCTTAACGCCGGCATCAATGATAATCACGGCGGCAAACTGCGCAAAATATATTATTTTTTGTCAAAAAATACGATTTTGCGTGCGCTTGTACCAGCCGCAAATTTTTTCAACTTGTGGAATCGAGTATACCATGCGGATTAGGAGCCAAGCGCCACGGTATAATTGATGATTTTTTACAACACAAAAAAAAAATAAATACAGAAACTTTTACAGAGCTACCTACTTTTGAAATTCGTATGGCAACAGCCGCGTGAGGCATAATAAATGCAGAAAAAAATATGGCGTTGTAGTACCAGTGACTTATTTTCGCTCAGTGTGGACATGGTTGAGCGACGGTCTGGGACGCAGATTATCTACCTGCCGATGTCACGCGAAGAATCGGGACGGCGGGTGACGTGCCTTGCTTCCGAAAGGTTAAAAACAAAACGAACGCGGCCGGTGCCTTTTCACATCATTCAGGCTTTGAGTCAATTTCACTGGCATATGAGCACTCTTGGAAAGCCGCGATCTCCTGCAATCGATCCATCTCAAGTGAGAGGGAACAGGAAACATCTAATTTACATTCAGTTTTCATCTATTGGGCTACTCCTTTCTGACAATCCACCTCGAGCGAACTGCTACTATTTTTGGTGGTGCCTTCAACAATTTCGGACAACAGTGTATCTGGCTAGTAAGAGCAAGTGACACAAAGAGACGAACATTCTTTGTGGATCTCGAGCGAGAACTGTACAATCAAATCATCGAAGGAACTACCGGGCTTGATGACGGAAAACAGAAAAAAGGCGACTTCAGTAGCGCGCACAGACATGGAAGCGGGGACTTCCTTCTTTATTTTCTCTTGTCTGTTCTAGTGGCAGTGTCCCCTCCTCCCGTCTCACCCGGTCCCCCGGCTTGTGCATTCTTCTTGTCCCATAGTTAGTCGTGCGGGACAAGGAACCTTTTCCGTCGCTTCGGGTTGTCTCGTGTCGTTTTTGCCTGTCGTGCCCAAGATGGGACACCAAGGGACCCCCTTCCAGCAAAATTAATATACCTTTAACTCACAATTAAAATTATAACTCTGAACTCCCAAGATACTAAACTTGGGTGGCATCGGTAGGAGAGTTTCTGTTCCTCAGCGTGTGGGATAAGACCAATCCAGCACGGTAGCCTGTCGTAGAACAACAATTCTACCGAAGCTGGTGGAGCTGCAGTCGTCACAAGTGACGGATGCTAATGCTTCAGCGACATGAATTTGGATTGCCGCAGGTATTCACAACATTGAGCTCGAAGTACTCCTCCTGAAACAACATCTTAGAAGGATTGTGCACTGCGGCACTCCGCAGTTTTCGTGCAAACGTATCTGTTTTCGACTCACAACAGGCATCAGTGAACCCGCGAGTACTAGCGTTGGTCATTTCTTTGTCCTCGATCCTCTTCTTGGAAACAAATTATACAAAAAGTTGAAGCTCAAGCTCTTGCTCAAATAAAGATGTAATGGCAAGCTCTATAGGTATATCAATGAACGCGACAGAAGCTTCATAACACTGATCACTCATTGACGCAAAACTGGTTCATTCATTGGACCAAAATTCGTGAAAGTGCTCCTTAGATTCATTTTTAGCTCTGAGTCTGAGTTGAAACCGTAACCGAGTGTGAGAGAACCAGAACTCCAGTAAATAAAAGAAGAAATCATCAATACCAATTATCAGGTTTAAACAAATCTCACATCTCATACGAGATATCTATATCGTAAGTAGGGGCGAAGTCTCACCATCAGCTGTGGGTCCGGTGAAAGTGGCCGCTTTGAAAACCGCAATCACAGCTCCAATCGTCATCAACCCTACAATTATCAGCTCTGCCACAAACAGTGCGTTCATGCAGGTGAAGAGGTTCATGCCAATGGCAGCGGTCCAGATCGTGATGCAGAACACGCTAGCGCACGCTGCGACAGGAATGCTGGGTTTACCTGCGCGGGTTACAGAGCGCTGAGTACATGCTCCTAGGCAAGAACAAGTCCCGAAAAAAATACGACTACTACGAACCATCTGCATCTGGATCTGAAACAAAAACAATGTAGGATAGTAAAAAATTAAAATACCTTGCCGAAAGAGTCGGGTAGCCCAATCATCAAACTCATTCGCGGAGCAAACCTGTAGATGACATATAAATAGAATCTCTACTACTTCCTTTAGCATCATGCAGCAATGGAAAAGAAAAAGACTAATACCACACAGAGTGAGCACAGTGAGTAGTCGTAAGGAAAAAATGTAAGAATACCACACACACATCCGCAGCCAGGGCAGCTCCCAAGAGACCAGCCATATGGTACGCAGCGGTGGAGCTTTCGCACGTTGCGGCCGCACCTCCCGCGATCGCGAGTACCAGGCATGCAAGCACGGGAGTGGCGCATCTCATCAGAACGTAATCAAGGTACTGAAACCATTCGCGTTCTGGGTCCGAAGAGGTTCCGTTCGATACAAAGCGAAAGGTGTATCTGCAGGCGAGGGCGCACAGATCAAACACGACCGCGAGAGCGTACGTCGAAGCCAATAGAATGCTCGAAATAGCGATGCGGCTCTGTTTTTTTTAGAGACAGTCTTGTCGAAGCTATTCATCGTAGGTCCTCGATCATGCTCCTGTTTTTCTTTGATGAATACCGACAAAATATTAAAAGAGGTGATCATAATAGACCTCAACTGTTGGGACTAGTCCTCTTCTAAGTAATTACCTGCGTGCATGATGAACCGCTAAACTGGTAGAAGGTAGCTGCGGAAACAACTGCGAATGCGGCTTGAAAGACCCCCATCCAGAATTCGACCATACGCGCAAAAAAGATTCTTGGCGGAAGCTGATTGAAGTGATTAATATGTGTTGGCATTTACACAATTCATGTTTAGATCAAATGCAAAAAATCATACTCGCACAGAGAGAATAAAGCGCTCACGCATACTCATCGGGTTACTTGTGACGTTCTGGCTCTGGTACCAACTGCCTGCAATATTAAAGAGCAGCATAATTCAGGACGAGGATCATGCTTCATCTAATCATTCAAAAAACAGGCAGCGTACGCTAGATACCGAGCGCCCGCGTTCAGCGCTTTCGTGAATTCCGTGCAGGTACGCGCGCATCCAGAAGATGTTCGCCAAATCAAAGAGGATCCCAGGCAAGACAAGTCCGAGTGCAATGATGTTTTCTGACGGACAATCAGCGCGTTCAACTCCGGCAGTGCAAAGGCTTCCCACGGCGAACAAGTCCACCAGCAGTGTTAAAAAGGTCAACACTATGCTTACGTGGTGCAGGTATGTTGTGAGCGTAAAGGTCCTGTACGAGTAAAACGCGATAGTGCTGCTACCAGACACGGCGGAAGCTAAATCGGACAGCGGCGCCAGGCAGACGGAGTCCAGGTTGTAAAAATGATTTTCGCCCATTGTGTAAAGCTTCCCGCTTGGTTCTCTGCGACCGCTGTGGACCTTGTTGGCGCAAGTAGATTTTGCAGGTTAGTGAGAAGCCTCTGGCTTGCATCTCGATCCAAACTCTGGAGTCGTGGCATCGGTATTAATCTTGTTGAAGCTTCCGCACAAGAGAAAACAAACAGCTTGCATATAATCACGAATCAATTTCGGGGCGAAGCTCCTACTCAAAGTTTTGACTTTGAGTAAATGTTGGGAAAGCCATGTAATAAATATGTGTCTTCCTACGAATGCATCAACGAAAAAAGTACTGTGGTGGCAGCTGTGGCATCCGGCACGGTAGGCAAACTCTCACGATGGATCATGGTATCAGCGCCAGTCGAGCCGCAATTGTTCGTATGAGTTGCTGGCAAGGAGCAGCTTGCTCTGAAGGTGCTGGAGAAAACTTCGCAACGGGTGCCTGATGATCAATGGAGCAGTTTGCATTTGCAGTTGGAGATGCAAAGCCAACGACGTAGATAAAAATACATAAAACGAAAGAGATTCATAGGCGAAGCCGAAAGGTGGGCCGCGTTGCTGTTCGCTTTCCCGGCTCCTTGATTCTCGACAGATGAATGTCGGCGCATCCTTTCGGGGTAAGTAACAGATGGAACATGGGAAAAGGCGGGCAAACTCCGGCTGACCAAATGCACGGGGTACAAATGGGACCGCACTCCATGCGGGGGCTGTGCCATTCAATTTCTGCTGGGCCGCGTTTGGTTTTGAATATTAACGGCGCGCAATCAAATGAGAAGCTGATACAGAACGACGGAGGCCGTGAGAGAAGGAGAACATAAAAAAAGCAGGTGCAAATAAAAATATACTGAAATAAAGGCGGTAGCCTTCTGGTGAGGTTGCGCCATCTGCATTTATGTCCCCACCGAACGAAGGTAGTCTCGGGGTATTTCCGTGTGGGCTTCTCGAAAAAACTGGATCAGAAGAGCTTTCTCCTCCGCCCGGTGTTTCCAGAACCTGCTGGTGCTGGGCCGTCCAACTTCTGCCTCCATCGCCGTTCGCACTCATTTGCGCTCCCTCGATCAGAGAGGAGTCATACTTGTTCTCGGCAGCAGTCGCCTCCTTCGTCTTGACGCAGTCCGGCACTCGCGCTGTAGCAGTCCTCGCACTGGATTGCTGAATCCGAATCGTCGCGCCATCATGCAAAGGGGCAATGTAACTATCAACAACACCGAGGGGATCACTGTCATAGTGGGAGCGGCGACTCTGTCGGCGAAGATCACCATTGTCAGCCTGTCGCGCGCTGGTGTCGTCCCTGATGTAATTGCAGTTCGATCGTCAATTAGAGTGAGGCTCTGCACGGAAGTCGTGGTCGACTTACTAGTGTACTCACAATAACAGAAAAGCACACTAACAATGGATGCGGAATCAATGCTATCAGAAGGTCATTATATTCTGTGTGCCTGCTTCTTTAGGTGAGCGATTGCCTGTCAGAGAACTTTCTGGCTTTCCACGAGTAAATGTCTGCTCATGCGCGACAGCCCTCGAGCATCTTGTGAGGCGGGGCTCCACCGGTTATAGCGGAGACTGTGACCGGCTTCAGAAAGTCAAGAAGTATGCTAGCCTAGTGTTCTACATGAAGGTGATAAAGGTCTAGTCGGAAATTATACGAACAGCACGAAGGTTATACTTATATCTTGGTCGCCCTATAATATCAGAAGTCCGCAGCTTATCTATATTTTCGATGTGTGCTACAGCCCACAGATACTTCGACTGCAAATATATTGATCTCATGGTCATGATGCGCTTACCTTTGCGAAATGAAAAGCGGCATCGAGTTGTTCCCGTCTTGTTCAGTGACAGTAGGAGTTTTCACAGCCATCTGTGCTGTCTCGCGCCTGATCTGTCGTCTTACGTAACCGTACTCCTCCTCGTCCGCATAGTGGTTCATCAGCATTAACTCCTCCCTCGCATGAGCACTTTTATCTCGAGATGAACTAGAAGCAGCCTGGCCGTCGTCGCGCCTCGCCATGCATTGTCGGCTTTCGTCGCGTTCTCCCGCCCCTATGAGGTCTGGCATTTTGTTGACGTAGTTGTTACTCTTAGTATATCGTGAGTTTTTCCTTGTTCAGACTTGTTGTAATTGCTGCATTCAGCGCTCCTGATCGCATGTGCGTTCTTATCTTCGGCTTCGACCTCGTCAAATTTCTTTCGATTCCTTGACTACGTGCCGCGCATGCGACAATAGCAAAATAGCATGTCCTCTCGCGATGCAATACGGGCAGCAATTGGACTGTAGTGTGAAGGCGTCTTCTCTCTACTTTTTTCAATTGCGTTTTCTATTCGCTCGTTATAACGGGTCAATTGCTTAGTTCCGCGGGCACAGATGACGACACACAGCTTGAACTTCGAATAAGTGAGATATGATAAAATAAAGCAGACAGACAAACGAGGGACAGTTGATTTTTTCCGACAGACAAACACAGGCAGTGTACTTTATCATGCACCTCCTGAGCCACTGAATATATTTTATAATCCTTGTCACGATAAACGACCTCCATTTCGCTCATACGAAAACCAAGACAAATAATTTGCTCATTAATCATTCTATTTCTGAAGCGATGTCAGAGAATTTTCTCTCGTTATTGAGCTCTCAAATTCAATGATGGTGCGAATGCCAACGATGGGTGGCGACGTGACTGGGGCTCTGCATTTTCTCTCATTGTGAAAAATGTCTTGCGCTCCTAACGGTTCGTCCTCACCAAAACCAGCCACCAAATCGACAAAAAAAGGCATCCCAGCACACACAGAAGGACTACGTGACTTGTCTGAAAATGTTGAAAAAAAGGCCGATAGCGAGAGCTTCATCCTATAGAGAATGACTGAATGACGTACCCAACAGACGCGATTATCAGCGGTGCCTCTTGCAATGGAAGGAAAGAAACAGAAAAAGAAAAAAAAATTTGGCCGGTCAAGAAACATTTTCTGCGACTTCTTTTGTAGTTGTGTGGCAGTCGCATTCAAAACAAAAACTTGAAAATACACGGCCGGGTGGTCATGAAACATCCCCAGTATAAATTTCAAGGAAACCCGGATGCATGTGTGCACATCACACCTACTAACGATGGAAAAGTCGTACTAACCTTTAACAACTAGAAACTCAAACCAGTATAATCAAAGAGTCGTAGATCACTTCCTAATTTTGGAAACGAGAAAGGCATGGACGCAAGCTGTTCTTCTTCTCCTCCACCACGGTTTCGTGTTTTTATGAAGTAGAAAATCATAATTTATTGGTAGAATGCATTAGAATGAGCCAAACCGACTCCGAGTGCCGAGCATACATAGTTGACGCTAGGTAAGTGGGTTGATCCTTGCAGAAGCTGGAATTCGATATTTTTATATTTCGATCAATGCCCATGTGGGTGTGCTTGATGTGGTAAGGTAATCGCATGACTTTTTTTGTCCTGTTGCTGGGATTTTATTTTGCAAAGCGGTAACGGTGTAAACCAGGGCCCCTGAGACCAGGGCGACTGCTCAGACCAGGGCCCTTACGAACTGTGGCCCCTACGCACTGATCGGCGTCCCGGAATCTGGTGTGCCGGAATCTGGAGCCTGGGTCTGGAGAAATTGAAGTATCGCTCCCGTTTCCCGTAGCCGGGTCGTCTGGAGAAAATTGGCGCAGCCGTCGCCCGTCGTCGATGTATGCGGCAGCGATCATACGCGCGAGCAAAAAAATGCGTATTTCCGTACTCCGCATACGCACCGACGGGGCGGCGATAAAAAAAAGAAACTATCACACAGCTGCCATAATCAGCTGCGACCGAGATTCACAGAAGCAAGAGACTCTCAGGCAGGCCAGGGAAAAAGTACCTACAACTACAAGAATTCTTCAGCAACACCACGCAACAAAGACAGACGGATAAGCTGAGGCAAGTAGCCGACCACAAAAAAAAAACGCGGACAGGCGGCCGATGTCCTTGGCGTTGCACACAAGATCTGGGCCTGGAAAGGTGAGAGCTTGCTTGTGATGCGGGTCCGACCATATCCGCTTCCGGCCAGACCTTGCTTACAGCCGTGTAGCAGATTTCGCAGCGCCGTTCAGTTCGTAGGGGCCCTGGTTTACCCGGATACCTCGTAAAGCAACGCTTTGCTTTTGCAGTGCTAAGTAGTAAACAAAGATCTGTTTTTCTCGCATGCTCGATTTTGGGTCGAAACGATGAAGAAACCCGGAAACAGAAACGAGAGGCAGGAGAAATAATGAGCGGGGAGCTTCTTCATGTTGTACAGATTTCTTATACAGATACAGAATTTCACTTCATTTCGAGGGGTGGTGGTCGGCGGTGGCCTCTTCTCATGTGGCTCGCTAGAACGGGGCACGGAACGACGCAACGCTTTGCACCACGGGCACGCGACTACCAGATGACAGTCCAGGTCCGAGCAGGAGCACATCCACATGCCCAAGGATTTGTTTGACGAGTTGTGCCATGACGCTATTGCTTTAAGAGCCGGCCTGAGCAAGCTACCCAGTTGCTGCTAGGATTGAGATCGATCGTGATAAGTGGCTCCACCACTCCTGTGTATCCTCACTGCGGAAACAAGGTGAACTTGCAGGCTTGGAAACATGCACACTGAGGATTCTCTCATTGAGACCTTTACAGACACTCTGGCAGTGATCCACTGAACAAGAAGAAGAACACACTGTAGAGTGCAGTGCGCATCAAAAAGAAGAAACACTTTAGTCGCATTTTAGCTCATCAGGAAATTGTCGTATTTTCGTTGCTATGGATTTGTACATCGTGAGCAGCATGGACACAGTAGCACAACTAACTAATACACAGCAAGTAAAGAGAGAATCGGCTCCGATTCTGAACAAATTAAGTTACAGCTGGATCTTCTAGCCAAAAATACAAAAACTGTAGCGATGTTGCCTGCAGGCTCTACTTACAATTGATTCTTGAAATGGTATAAAACAGTGAGTGGCATATTCATTCATCTGACATAGTACTGAAACTCTGAGAGTGTTTTGAGTTGTCTGTTCTTGTGAAACTCTGAGACTGTTTTTTTTGCTGTCTGTTCTTGTGTCTGACTGAAATGTGTTTTGATGTGTCAATTCCCCCTTGTCCCGTCATAGCAAATGCTTGATTTTCTTCTCATACTGGTTCATCAGGGTTTCTGGTTATGGTGTGAAATAAACAGTGCATCAATGGTACAACCACGTCCGTGCTCTTGCGCAAAACACCAAATTTCTCAGAGAAGTAAGTTTCCTGATCAGTCGTACATCACTTGCTTCGCTGCCGATGATGATGACGAGTGTGATCACTATTTATCAATTATTAGATGTTGATGTGCGAGCCCTCACCTTGACGTCCCCGCCACGTCCTATGATACTCCGCCCGCAGCTCCTGGGCACTAAGAACCTCTGTAGCCGCCGCCTGGTGGCAGGCACGTTAGGGTGGACATGGAATCGAAGAACAAGGCTCGGAGCGCCACCAACATTGCAGGGCAGAGTAAGAACACGTGAAAGACGGCGGGGCCGGACGCACTGAGGGACCGCCCAGGATTTCTGAAATGAAGGGGGAGGGAAGCTGCTTCAGGCACGGGAGAACATGGAGACGCGGTATCGCGGGAAGACAGAGTAGAAGCGCCGAGGCCAGCCGGCGCGACGTGGTTGGCTGGCATCGACGACTCTGCATCGATCCCAAATCCTGAGCTCTAGACCCTAACACACCGGCTGCAAACCCGGCGGGCTCCGTGCATCACCGCTCCAGGTCCAGGCAGGTGACGCAGAGGAGGTGGGGGAGTGATGCAGGGTACGTAGACCGACGGGCAGTGATGCAGGTGGCGCAATGATACAACATGAGGAAGTCAAAGTGACCTTTGCTTATGACAAAATAAACTGCATCGCACAATAAAAGTTACACCAACGTACTCTGCTTGCACAATTCAAATACATTGATATGGTTATATGGTGCTTCTACTGCGTGGTCAACATATAGACGTTTGCACTGTATTGTCTTCATTACTTATCAGTTGCTACGATGCCCATGGTGTCCCAGTCTTGCAAGGAAAAATGCAAATTTTACTTATATAATATGTCTTGACGTGGTTGTGATGCACTCTTCTGGACCCCTGCGGGTAACGGAATCTCCACTCCGAGCTGGATCCCTACGAAGAGCATTTGCAGCCAATATCCAACCCAACAGACGACAGCCTCGCGTTCAACGTTATCGCTTCCATTTATGTCGATCATAGCATATTGAGGACAACCAAGTACGTACTCCTTCTTGCACTGATTTGAAGGGTATAATCAGAAGTGGCGACAACAAGAAGAATGCAACTTGTTATTTCGACGGCATGGCTTCCTAATACTACACACGCCATTCAGGCCTCAAGCTCATTAGCTCAACCTCAAGCTAAACAAGAACTTAGAATGCGAATACAATGAAACATACAACTCCATAAAACAGCCGAGACACGAGTCTGCGGTCGTAGTTTGTCGGCCACCCAAGGCTGCACAAAGCAGAGGCGTCATTTAATATACATGTTCTTCTTGACGCGCAGCCAAAAAGAAGAACCTCATGTTGTGGTACTTACATAAGACCGCGGCCAGGCTAGATTTCCACATACAAATCATTAGCGCTGCATCTGTATACGATTTGCACTGTGGCATGGCTATAATTATTAAGTAAACCATCGTGACTACTGCGCATCGTGTCATCTGTGTCTTGTGCTACAAACAAGCACAAGCGAAAGCGAGTTGCGTGCTTTGCTGCATCAGTTCAGATTGGATACATTTTTGCTCGACGTCATACTCGGTTTGTACAGATGCCCCGTTCTATCGAGTCGTCCGCACAGGTCGTGGAGGGGACGCGGGAACTTTGCCCCGTTCGGCGGGAAGAGGAGGTTGGCAACTTCCTCTTTTGATTTGGTTTCGTCACAGTATGCAGGAGACAAAAACAGAAGCAGCACACACAAACACGATCGAGCATAGCATGTATTTATCTAGCCTGCAGCAACGGCAACCGCACGCAGAAGCTTAAAAACGCACTGCAAACATGCGTACTTGAAGTGCAGTGAGGGGGACTCATTTACATTTTCATGCATCATGGCGCTTAATAACTTTTCCTGAGGACGACCACGCTTGGAATTGCATCTCGAACAAGATCACACAAACAAGTTTTTTTGCAAATCTTTATTGAAACAGCGCAGGCCCTCCAACACCAACATACAGGTGGCAGGACCAGGAGAGATTGACTACGCATGAAAAAAGGCGAAATTCGACTACGTAAAAGCGCGAAACACATTATACAGAATAATATGCAAACGCATCGTAGGTATGCATAGTGGTGGGGTCTCTCTTGTGTCTGCTTGTGCGAGAGTTTGTGTCGTGGAGGATATCAGGCCGAGATTTTCAAGTTTCCTCTTCACTTCTAAGTCGGTGAACGAGTGAAAAACTTGGTAAAGGTATGCGGCAAAAACAAAAAGCAAAAAGCGCCACGCCGTTGCGCCCTCGCTTGCTAGTTTGAATGTTGCAAAGACGCGAACTTACTAGGTACTTACAGCTCGGACAGAAAACGACACGCCTCAGACGTGAACTAAACCACCTCGAGGATGAAAAAGATGCATCCTTACCAATAGATACATTGCGTTCTGCGCATTTGATTTCAAGTATAATTTGCACATGCACACTCAGGTGCCTGTAGCACTCATTTTCGTCGAATCAATGTAACGGCAATGCATATATACGAAAACCGAACATGTGGGAATCTGTGGCGCTGGCGCAGAGCAAATGAGTTCCACAGCATAAGTAGGATTCCGAGCGCCACCGCCGCAGCCCCATGATTTGGAGCCGGTTCTCCTCGCCGGTGTCGCGAACACAGTCGATCTGATATTTTGATAAGGTAATTTTTTATTTTTTTGTATGATATCGAACTATATATAAAAACTCACAATCGAGGAGAATTCGATCAGCTCCTGTGTAGGAAGTGTGGGAAAGATCAGATCCTATGTGCTCATATTTTGATAACCTAAGGTCAAAATGGCACTACATCACCATCAAAGCGGCTGAGTAATTGCAAATAGCGTTTTACGTGACCACAGAACACGCACGTCTTTGTCGCTCGAAGAGAACAATTCGCATTCTTGGGAACAAGGTCGAGCCGAAGAGTTTGTACCTTATGGTCTGTATTCGCATTGTGAATGCGCTGGCTGTTGTTGACGCGTTCTTGATCACGGTCCTTCTGGTCCCGCTTCTTCTTCTCCTCGTGCATCCACCATAATGCCATGCCGAACAGCACGTAGAGGATGCCAACAAACAAATATTGAAACGAAAAAGCTCACCATCGCCATTCACGAAAGCAGCGCCCCCTTTTTCAATCTGATGAAGTTAATGGTTCTAGTCCCTCGCTGCACCTTTTCCGCTTTTTTATTATTCTTGCGTGTGCTTCTACATCAATACAGATGCGTTGGCAGGAGCAATACAATTTAGTTAGCGCCGCAACTTTCGTTCAATTTCGTCGGTTTTCTCGCTGGCTCTCGCCCTCAGCGCCGGCATCCACCCTAAGCCCTATCATAAGAATCTCGAAAATAAAATACTCACGACATCTTCTCCGAGCTCTCTGTTGCCTTCTATCTTCAATCAATGAATTGTATATTTATGGGCTTATAACTGAAGATGCGACTAGAATGCCACAGACCAACGAAGCTCAAAATCAAAGACTGGAAAGAACATGAATCCCTCGTACGTTGCACAAAAATTTGTTACTCGTATGATAGATAGAGATACAGACTCGAGCACGAGCCAATGATGGTAATCATCAGAATCATTCTCGTCGTCATCCATCCTGGACTAGCTTGCAGAGGACGAGCGGTAGGCTCCTACATGTCGCATGTACGAAGAACTCTAGCCGGGCGGACACAGGGCTAGAGGAGCCTAGATGATACTTCACCCAAACTACGACACATAAATAGGGCTAGTGCCTAAAGACCGCCAGGCAGCACCCGTGCCGTACACACCCAAGCCGGTCGCGAGGGGGGGGGCTTATGAGGCTGTACGATTCGCCCTCCCCCTCATTCGTGGGGCATGAACAGCAATAGGAACTTCGGCAGGAGTGCAGCTCATTAAGTAAGAATGCCAATTTCTGCATCGCCAGTTCTAATTCAACCCACAGGCTTGCAGAGGTGCTGCTCGGACAACTGCCGGAACATGTTGGGACAGAAACACCGGAAGAGCCAAATATCCACCTCAGTATTTCAGGAAGAGACTGTGTGCTTTTAATACATATCATTATGGGCTAGTATTGCATTAAAGACAGAACGTCCTAGCGCGCATATTTATGTGCTACGTTGTTCTGTGTTTAATGCAATACTAGCCCATGATACATATAAGCGAATGTTGTAGTGCTGCAGTAGTACGTGTACGCGGCGAGCTTTCTCAATTTTGGATATAATCCCTGTTTCGGGCTCCATCGTGCCGCGGCCTGAAGCTTACGCTACTACTGGTCTGATGGACTAGTAGGACGCACGCAGCAACGCCGTTCAGGGTTTTTCCGTCATTTATCCAACATTAACTGTGTAAAGTAGAAAAACAACATGCGCCTCTTTGTGGGTAAAGTAGAAAAACAAACCTAACTGCTTCGAGGGGCGACGCGGATTGATTCAACACTCCAGACACCTACGTCGTTTTCATGGTTGATAGCGAGTATTTGAGTTGTAAGTGCCATGGTGGTCGATGTGCTGCGTTGAAGTTGATAAGGACGAAGAAGCTGGCACGGTTTGTTACTTCTGCTGTAAGTACTTAATTCATCTTTTTCGAAGTGAGTATATGGAAATTGATGACAGATGATAGATCATCACGGAAAGTCCACCCTACCGATTTTCGGCGCGACATCATCGACGACTCATCATGATACCGATGACTGCCATTTGTCGAAGTGACATCAGCAGCCGGCGATCGTTCGACGATAAAATTTGTGATGTCACCCTGCGACTGCTCACGACCAGAAAATATAAATACTTATACCCACGATCATGTTGGAATTCGGCATAAATATCCCAATAAACGCTTACTTCGATCACGACAACGATCACGAGGGTTTACTACGATGGCGACAACTTCCATCTAGATGGAGCACTATCTCTGTTGCTCTTGAGTCGACGACGAAACTTGCATCCACACGATCAGAGGATAAAATGCTTTCATCGAACCGGCGTTACTTTCTTAGCAAATATACGGCAAAAGTGTCGCCATACAAAAATGAAGTGCTTGACTTGCGATCAGAAGAATCCAAAACAACCGGACGAACCCAACCGTTCAGCGCGAGATTCTAAAATCAATGCTGGTCTTAGTTTGTCAACAATTCGAAACTGCAATGTAAAAAATTGCACGTATCGTATAGATGTAGGCGAGGCAAACATGGTCCAATGAGGTAGCTATGAGTGACCTATCGGATGATGCAACACATCGGCGGGGGGAGAGATACGACAACGAACTCCGTCAAGATATTTACTCAACGGACGCTGATGCTTGTTGTAGTATGAGCATGATGCAGAAGCGGTCGACCACAGACATAAACTGGTTACTACCGACCTGCGAGGAAGTTCTCGTTGTCACAAACACAGGGCGACCGCACCCTAGTAGACCATATCAGACCTCTCTCAGATTCGTTGCCGGATCAAGTCAAGTCATGCCTTCTCGCTGTTAGTTAGTAAGGTAGTTACGGGTGCGGCGGCGGTGGCCCCTTACCCTCAAGCTCGATAGACCGGGGCAGAGAACAACGCGATGCTTTGCACCACGGGCACACGACTCAATCGTGGCGATGCTTTGCACACGACAAGATGTTTTTATCGTGGTGTAATCCTCCACGCCTCAAGTGAAGAAATATTCTTTGCAATCAGCGAATCGTTCTTCTCAGGTCTGTTTCAATGGAACTTGCAAGGTATTCTAGAAGACGGTAGTAAATCCGATTTGCATTATTTTTGTTAAATAAAGCCAAAAGAAAAATACCATTATTATTGCACTGCAGAGGCAAAAAACTAACAAGTTTTAGTAAGTACATTACGGCAACCGGAGCGAAGAAAACACAACGAAAATTTTTAGAACGCTACTCTGCTGAGATATGCGATGACATCCACGAAGCACGCAGAAACAACATATCCCTCTCCGATTAGAGTCAATTAAGCTTCAGACGATGTATGTTGAGAATGATCGATTGCCTCACTCGCTGTAGTCTACATCAACAAGTTCCGTAGTCTCGAACAATTTTGCTCTTCTGATAGAATATTGCTAGTACTTATCTTCAACAATCAAACGAGCCAGTTTCAGGCGACTCTGGGCTACAGAGCCTGACGAGACGTGGCAAGGTAAAACTAAAAGTAAGGCTTTAAAAAAATTTCTGGGATCAATGATAGTGTTCCGGACATACCTGTAATTAGCGTTGATGATTGGTGTTTTTTTTTGGCGCTTTTCGGGTTTTGCGAACCCCTTGCCGTGCTTCTGTAGCTTCGATATTCAGGTGGACTTTGTCAATGCCCCTGCGCCTGCCTGCTCCATACTCTGTAAGTATCGGTAAAACTAAAATATGGCTTTTGTGATTTGTCGTGGCATAATTATATCACTTCCGGGCCGTGTATGATAGTGAGACGAGAAGCCAATTAGAATTACGCGTGTGAACGGCGTCGGGCAGTGGTCCAATGAGGAACACAATAATTAAAAACAGAACATGCATCAGACAGTAGGAGTTCCGTCGGCGTTAAAATGAGGCTCATTGAATGAACTGGGCGTCCATTTTACCGTGGATAATCAGGCTAATGAAGATAAGTACTGGAAAATAACACCTGACGAGCTAAGCCACCTGGACTTTTGAAAAGCAAACACACTGCATAACGCTTGCCCCAGCGCCAGGGCCCAACGTTTCATCGTTTATCTGATACACCGTCAAGCTCAGGGTGAGCGATGGTGTGCCGCGGGTATGCTTGCGAAATACCGTCACCCTATCGCCTGCCGCTCCGCGAATTTTCGCGCAGTCGATCGGGATGACAAGTTGCGACGTCGCACCTGGTCCCTTGGCCCAGGAGATAGACCAGAGAGCACCATCAAACTCTTTTGTGAGTTTTTCGCCGTTGTTCCTCGGAAAAAGCAGAGGAAACTTCAGGCAAAGTGACTCATTCCGGTGGTGGCGGTCTTCATTTGTACCACTTCCTCGACACTTGTCGCGAAAATCAGGACCGCCCCAGTGCTCCGCCATGCGAACCCAAGTCTGCTCAACTGGGCCAATTGCGCTTTCTGCTTCCTCGTAGTTCTGGTGGTAGCTAGACGCAGTTTGTTCCTCTGGAACGATGACGCTTTCGCTTTCGGTATAGGAGGAAAAAAGCACAATGCGGTCAAAAATTTGAATGCCAAGAACTTACACATGCCTGACCATTATCATTCTCTGAGTTCGGCCGACTAGAGGGGAAAGACGAACTCACAGATGGGAAAGCATTTGCGCCACAATGGAAAATCAGCAGGCAAGTAGGTGGGCGAGTAACTGCCAGGGCTCTACCGAGTTTTCCACGAGTAAGTGTCCGCCTTAGACAAACGGACGCTCAAAAGCATGATGTGTATCAGGGCACGGCCAAAGGCGCAGCGGTGAAAACATGTCGAGTATCAGGCGCTCAAAAGCCTATAGCGGTGAGCGACCGCTCAACTGGAGTCAGCCGAAGCAGCCACCTCATCAGCAACGGCGCCCAGATCGGGTCCGCGGCGCGCTGCCTGCTCTTCAGCCAGCAAATAAGAAATAACGTCGCCCCAGCGTGCGACCTTTGGAGTTCCAGCGGAAACGCAAGAGCCTAGCTTTCAGAGAATCAGACAGGCTACACGTATTAAACCATAGCCCGGTAGCCAAGACGTACCTGAACTTCCTGGGGAACGGAAATTATATCCAGTTTTCCGGAACCAGCTGCACCAGACCACCTTACTAGCCCTAAACCTCTACAAAAACCAACCCGGAAACGCGTTTCCCTATTTATTTTGCTGTGCCTTCTTTCACAAAGCGAAATACCTGTCGCGGAAAGAAAGAACAAGAGCACGTCTGCAATCTCCTACCCGCCCCTCCCACCGATGGACTACTTAGATTCTCTCTACTCTCAGAGTGTACAGGATAAATGCGATAGTATTCTACACGACATCTAACGCGCACGGGGCTGAAAAAATCCAGCCCCTGCCGTAGGTATCTTTCTAGCAAGGAAAAGAGGAGAGAAAAATCGTAAATGAGGGAAAAAAACCGGAAAGAAGTGGTCGCCATGGAAAATCAAAATGCAAATCCTACGCGCGCAGCTTCATTTGAAACGAAGGTCGCAAGTAGAATAACGGAGAGGCTGATGATCATTGCCGCGAAAACCTTTCCTTCCGCCGTTATCAGGCAGAGCTGGATGTAGACCATTTCGGAAATTGAAATCAAGCAATAGAGTCAGCCAAGCTTCCTGCAAAATGCAGAAAGAGCTGTTGTTCCTGTGTGACCAAATAATAGGAATCCATGCATAACGATCATCGAGAACCAGAACGCATTGCGCTTTTCCTTCCATATTTCGAATACTGCAATTCCTGCAAAGCAGATCCTCCGAGTCCGAACGCAAAAGTTTCCTCTACCTCCTGACGTTCCTGATTTTCGTCCAATATCGGACTGGTGCCCACGTCGTCCCGCTGCTCAGTAACACTAGCGTCCTCGACAGTAGAGAACGTCTTTGACGAAGACGAGGAGTGTTGCACGCTATTCTTGGAGCTGGAGGTCGAGCAGAGCATTGCTGACGATGAAGTCGTTGTCGTCTTGGTAACAGGCTTGTCTTGGAGAAAAATGGGACCAAACTCTATGTCGCTGCTCGGACTGCAGCCGGTCGCCGATATTCCTCTGCGCGCCTCCTCGCCGGTACTTTCGACGTCGTGGCGGGCGTCAGCAACTTGTTGTTCTTCATCATCTTCAACTTCCACGCTGTCCTCCGTTTGTTCCAAGTGTGTAACAACGGAAGCGGCCCCCACAACGTTGCGTGTACTTTCGCGAACCCAATGTCCTGCGCAAAAATATATGGGGCCAAGCAACACTCCATTTTGGAATCGATAACATAGCATCAGGCGCATTTATTGGATGTTTGAATAGATGACATTCTGCAAATCCAGACTCGAAGAAACAACAAATATCTCATAGAGAGTAGCGAAAAAAAAAATCAAGACCAAAAACAAAAAGCTGGGCGCCGAAGACGAAAGGCGGGGGGGCACCCACGTAAAGGAAAAAGCGGCGTGGAAGTCAGCTCCCCGCAGACTTCTTTTCCTTTTGCCTTTACTTTGATCGCGCCGTCGGTCATTCTCGGCCTCCACTTACCTCTCCAGGCATTAGATTTATGCTTGATAAAGTTGAAACGAAAAATGACAATTGTGGTGGCGCCTTTTTCTGCTTTCGGTCGCGCGCCAGCCCACCCGTCCACGCATTCGGAGTGCCCAGGCCTGGACTGGTGGAATAAAGGGCTTGCCCGTCGCAGGCAGGCCCGTCCACCCATTCGCTTGTTTGCTGGATCTTCAGGCCTGGTCTGGCGGAATGGCCAGGCCTGTCGAAGTCCGCATCTCCAGGAGGAGGCGGGGCGGGCATCCAATGGCGCAGCGCTGGTCCGGCGCGCCCGATGTGCGCCTCCGGCAATCCCACCAGCCACACCGCGCCCGACCTTTCGCCCGGCGGCGCACGTCGGGCATGCCCCAGGACCGCCGGCCATTTGGTTTCACCAGACCAGCCGGGGTGACGCCCACAGGGTCCGGCCCGCCGTTCCCGGCCCGCCACCTCCGGCAATCATGCTGGAGGGGGGGCGGTCGATGCTGCTGGGTCAAGGAATGTGCGCAGGCGGCCCAGGATTCTTCAAAAGATTGGGATGCTGGGGCTGTGCTGCACGTAGCTGCGGCCGTCCAAAGGGGTGCGTCTGGTCCTGCGAAGCGCGGCGCCGGCCCCGCCGACGTTCTTCGCCAGGAAAAGGCGGGCCGCGCGCGTGCTTCTTTCTCGATGGTTGTGCCGTCTTTTACTTCTTTAGCGTTTCGTCTTGTTTGTTGGGCGCTTTTACACACATTTACAGACGAAGCGATCTGCTGGTCTGCATCATAAGTATATCTATATTGCAAACCAAGCCGCACTTTTTCAATTTTGGTATACATTTGCTGTAAGTAGCCATGCACAATTTCCGAAGTTTTTGACTCACAAAGGGCAGAGTCATAGGCATACTATCCTTCATCTTAGCACTAGCACTTCAATAATGACACACGTCTTGCTTGTCGACATATCGTTATCAATGTGCAAAGGATAGAAAACGACGGGCGCTCGCGGTTTCTTGCTGCTTGGCCTCCCGTCGTCCAATACTTGGACCGCGAGCAGATGGCGATGGTCGGTCTGGAGGCGACAGCAATCCCGTGCCTGATGTGTTTTGTTCGCCCAGTAACGACTGCGGCCCCGCACTGTATTCGTTCCGCACCGACGTCGCCTTTGTTGCTCTCGCGGTTGAACTGGATGTGGTTCTGTCGGGCGGGGCCGAACAACGTTTCGCGGGCGCCAGGACAAGCGACGCGGCTGCAGATGTAGAAGGGGAAATAGACTCAACACTGCCGGAATTGTTCGACGGGATAACAACAGCGTTATGCGCCACTGCCGGCAACTGCAAGGCCAGTTCGTCAGAAGTGCAGCTACGGCTCGGTGGGAAATTGTTCTCATCCTGCATCGTAGATAGTAGCAAGTAAAAGACGAGAAATAGCAAGACGCAAGAACCGCACACGGACATGAGGATGAATGACACTGCCGAGGAACAAACTGGCGGGGATGCTGCATCTTCATCGACGGACCTGAGAAGTACGTGAGTGATAATTAACCCAGAAATTATACAGAGAGAGGCAGCGAACGCGAAGCAACCAAGAGCTCGCTTGCCTTGGCGTGACTGACTGCTGACTGGGCTTCTGCGTAATCTGAGTGAGTTTTGTTATTGTTCTTCACCTGTTTCACAATTTCTTTCAGATGTGCAGCGAGGTGCTATCTATGTGCCTGAGGATTACTCCTCTAGTTCCTCCTCTCTTTCTCCTCCTCTTCCTTAGGCGATGGGGATGGGGGCATGCTTTCGCTGAGTGTAAATATGTCGAGCCCAGGATATCGACATGTATCGGTGAATAGCGAAACGAGGTCAAGCGCTGCAAGCTTTTTTTTTTTGGCGACGCCGACTGCAGCAGGGGCAATAGCGCGCACCGGCTGCGCGTTATAATTAGTTATAGTTTTCGCCTTGCCTTTGCGTATAGTATTCATTGCAGAGGTTGGCTTTGGACGGAGTATATAAGAGTAGATAAATATACTGAAAAGCAAAATCCCAAAGGGGTAGTGCACATAAACACAGTTCGCAAACGCTCAAAAAACAAAAGCAAGCAGCCTCGGGTCTTGCGCCTCTGCTTGAAACACTGCGAGGCCGTGCTGCGGCGAAAACTGATCCCCACGCCTTGCAGATATTAGGTAGCTGCCAGGAGGAGGCGGCGGCACGCACGCACACACACTCCAGCTAGCAAGCCCCACACGTCGCATGCTGCCACACACTCGCTCCAGGGCTGTGCAGAAAGATGAGGACAACGAAAAGAATAAAGTGAAAGCTTGGCACGCGCCGGCGAATTTGCATGAAATAAGGTGAAGTTTGAAAGAGGGGAGAGAGCTAATCTCGACGACGAAAAGAATAATGGAAAGAAGGGCGCGTGGCGTGTGGCAACCCCTCGGCGCATGGACGAGCAGGCGCGCTGCAGCTGCGACGCGCGACACCACAACACAGATTGCGAAAGATGCCGATCCGATTGGATTGAACCTACGCACCAAATATGAGTGAATCAATCGAAAGAGCGCACGGCTTGTGAAGTAAGAAAGTCCGTACGTAGGCAATACCTGCTTTGTTGCAGCCCCGCTTTCGGAGGCGCGTGCTCACCATGCAGCAGGGTTGTATTCTGGTCGACGATGATCTGCAACGTAGTACTTTCGTTACTGCTACCGCAATTCGCAGTGGAGGGAGCGACTGCGTTCTCGACTTGGCAGCTCGTCCGATTCGCAGTGGCACCCTCCCCGAACGCCAAGGGAATTTGCGTTTTCAGCTGCGTATCATTGATGCAGCTACGGCGAGCGGAGAAGTTCGCATCCAAGGAGCGGCCGCAGGTGACATTTGCTTGCAGTATGCGATGGTGCGAACTCGCAGGAGCAACCTCTTCGTCCAACACCAGCGTGAGTTTGTCCGCAAGCGTGGACGTGCAGCTCGTGTTGCTTTTCAGCTCAACAGTCGACCTCTGTGCAACATGTAGAGTGTCGGTGGTGTTTGGACTGTGTCTGCTCTGGTTGTGGTCGCCACCGCGATGCGCCGTCCTTTCCAAGCCATCATACATGGGCATGACGTCGCTCCTGTGTTGCGCCGTGTCCTCTACTTCTTCATTTTTCTGGTCGCGGTCAGGAAAGATTGGCGAAGACGGAGGAGGAAAAGCTCGACGCAGAGAGCCGAAGGTACTAGGTGGTACGACAACACTCCTGCTCATTCTGGGCATTTCGACTTCAGTGAGTACGGTGGAGATATTGACGAGAGCACGCTCAGCAATACGGATATTCGTGAAAGTCCCCGCGTCGCGTTGCTCGCCCCTTTGCGTGATCTCTTCTTTCACCGTGTCTTCCATGCGTTGCTTTGACCCACCAGGAGCAGCAACAGGAGATGATTGACCGACGTAGGTGCCACTACTCTCTTTTTCTTGACTGACTGTCATGCCGATGCTCCGACTCTCGAACGGGTGTGCTCGCAAATCAGAATGATGATGATCAGCACCATTCTGCATGACGTGTGGCTCCGAAAACTGTTCCCCGGTCGCCGGGCCCGACGTTTTGCTGTGGGTGTCGTCCCAGTTCACCGGCTCGTCTCTGGTTAGTATTCCTGCACGACCAACAACTCCTGTATTTTTCTGTCCGGAAATCGTGATGTGACCCGTCTCGTTCAGCACCGCGGAAGCCATTTTTCTTTTGTCGTTTGAGTCTTGTAGGTTTTGCTCGGAGCCATCGTCTTCGGTGGTTGAGACGCCGACCTGGGTTCGCGCTGCCAGCAGAGAAGCATCGGTCTCTGTGTGACCATTGTCACCTCCTCCATTCGTGTGGTGATGCTCTCCGGCGTGGATGCGGGGTAGGGGCAACCCTGCTGGTTTTACTGCCTTTGGAGGGTTCTCCACGTCTTCGGACAGATGTCGCGCTATGAGGCAAAAGCCTGTGCTAACAAGCGTAGCGGCAACGAACTGCATCCTCGTCTTTTTCCTTGTTTTTGTGCGCTACGTCAAACCTGTAAGGTTCTTGCGTGTGCAGGAGCTACTCACGTGGGATTGAATGAGAGTTCTTCTATCGGCAGTGACCCTCCGTGAGCACTAAACCGCACCGCGTCCACGTCAAACAACCGTGTTGAAGACAATCAAGTAGATGAGCGGAAACAGCGATATAACGTCGAAGCCTTCATTTCTGCTGTAGTTTAATATCAGCCTTTAAAAGAAAAAAATTGACGAGCATTGGGTTTGGGCGGCTATCTATACTCATTCGTCGTCTACTTTTTTCCATCGTTATTGATCGTTACAGGAGGGAGGAGGAAACCTCTACAAGGGTTGCTATCTACTAAGTGACTCTTTTAAGACATCCAGGGGTGTAGAAACACAGATGGATCTGTTTCGTCCGTTATTGTTTAGTACTTGTAGCCCGATCCTGAGGCTTTGGTCTAATGTATAAGTACTTAACCACATCCGGAATCGAAGAGCGACGACCTAGCCACAAGGAAATCGAAAAGGGAAAGATCGAAGACTAAACTCCCCACGTGTGAGCGATTTCTACGCGATCTATAAAATATGCCGTTGCTTTGAAACCCGTGTAATCTCGCTCTGCGTACGACTACGATTCAAAAGCGTCGACTTCCCAAATTCAATATCAAATGCTGACGATATACATGACGCATCAACATCCCCGACTACACTTCAAGTTATTCCCACCCTTGATCTCAACCTAGATGAAAGCATCCTGGCGCTAGCGAACAATGAATAAAAATCGACGATGGAAAGCGGAGGCTCTGTCGTTGGTGATACGGATTCGCATCGGTCAGCTCAGGTGAAAGCCGAACCGGAACCCTCATCGAAAATGAAGGCGACTGAATAAGTTTCGCTCTCAAGTTTGGAATGTTTTGGGAGGTCAATAATGCAAGACGACGTGCGTGCTTTCTTGATTGAACACACGACGAAGTCTGCGTAGGAAATAAATCACGGCAATGAGTTAAAGTCCCAGACTGCAGCGAGGTTCTTGCTTTTGACTTTTTTTCTGAAAGAATAGTAGACGAGCGCAAGTTTCTTCGATAGCTTTAAAAGCTATCAGACAGGTGAGCCAGGAACTGGCCACGTGCTGTGTGTTATCCTCTGGTCTAATTGCCTACACTAGTGCTCTAGTCAACCAGTCAACCACCTGCCCGCCCTATCCACCAGTCAAACCATCGCAGGCCATGTATCAGCGAAAGGTCAGGCGCTGCCTAAAGACAACAGCCTACGGCGTCGAAGAGGAAAAACACACTCACCCCAAGCAATGTCCGGCTACTTCTTCTTAGTGAGACGAAGCTTCTCCCAGGCCAACCACTTTGCTGCGGTCAACCTTCTATCTACTATGGGCGTCGCTGCTTTACGCCCTCAATGCGCAGGCTAGTCTTCTTGCTTTGCTTTGCGATCTCTTCGCGATTTTCATTTCTTTGGGTTCCTCTGTCTGCTCTTTTGCCACGCTATCGCTCTAGGTGCGCCCTCTCTTCGCTGCCTGCATGCTCGGAGGGAATCGGCCAGAAACAAGAATCCGGGGCGCTTCTGAATTTTTGCAAAGCTTCAACAACCTGCCGGCGCGCCCGCACGCGCGCGGGCGAGCAGGTTGACCCGGGCGCAACTTCCTGCCCACCGGGCGGGCTGGCCGCCTGCCTCGCCGCGCTGCGGGCGTTTTTTGGTGGAGCCGCCGAGGGCCGCAACCAAGAACCCCGGGCGGTTCTGAAATTTTGCCAGGCTTCGGCACCTTGGCGGCGCCCCAACGAACGCGCGCGAGCAGGCGGGCGCATAAACATTCGCCGGCCCGCCTCGCGGGCCGGCCGCTTGCGTCTCTATTGGTTGCGCCACAGGGGGCCACAAGCCACCAAGAATCCGAAGCGCTTCAGAATTTTTGCAGAGCTGCAGCAGCTTCTTTGCCGGCGCGCGCGAGCAGGCTGGCCCAAGCACAACTGCCGGCCCACCAGACGGGCTAGCCCGCCTCCTCGCCGCGCTGCGCGGGCGGCGGGCGTGTTTTGGTGGTGCCGCCAAGGGCCGAAAGAAACCAAGAACCCGAGGCAGTTCTGAAATTTTGTAGAAGCAGCGCGCTGCGGCAACTTGGCGGCGTCCCAACGAATGCGCGCGAGCAGGCGAACTCATAAGCAGCGGGCGAACTCTTAAGCATTCGCCCGCCTGGCGGGCCGGCAGGTTGCTTCTCTCTTGGTTGCGCCACAGGGGGCCGCAACCAAGAACCCGAGCCGCTTCTGAATTTTTGCGGGGCTTCAACAGCTTGCCGGCGCGCCCAAGCGCGCGCGCGAGGAAGCAGGCTGGCCCAGGCAAAGAAGCCTGCCCACCGGACGGGCTGGCCGCCTCGCCACGCTACGCGGCGGGCGTGTTTTGGTGGAGCCGCCAAGGAAGAGCCTGCCACAACCAAGAACCCGAGGCGGTTCTGAAATTTTTTCGGGGGAGCATTCTTCGGTCGGAAACAAAGTTGGCGGCGCCCCAACGTACTAACACGCGCGAGCAGGCGAACTCATAAGCACCCGCGCACGCGCCCGCCTGGCGG